TCCTACCTACCGCTCTTCGCGGTAGGTCAAAAATCAAAACAAATCTCCTCTCCGGCGCCCTCCCCGCGGACCCGCAAACCGTAGCCGATCAAAGTTCCCGGGGTACCGGCAGTGCGTCCTGGCGGTTGAGCACCCCTTGCTTGCGGGCTCTCAACCCAAAAGGGCTACGTGCCTCCGCCGCCAGTCCACTACTTTCCCCCGTTCCCTCCTCCCAACCACGGACCTACGAACTCTTTGGAGATGGAGGCTGGAGGCACTGCCGTGCTGCCGGCAGCGCGCGGAGGTGCGGGGCTTCTGTAACGTGTCGTCCTGACGCCACGTTACAATATATATATATAATAGAGTTTATTAAAATATTAATAAGCATCAGCTTATCACACTGATGGGATTATTACTTTGGCCCTGATACCACTGTGTAATAATGGTGTATATACTGCAAATGATAATGCTTCACTATTAATCCACAGATATTTGTTGATTACACGGATATAAAGGCCTCGAATTTCTATTAAAGTCTCCGAAATATCCTGGACTACCGCGTGGGACTTAATATACTTAATTTGCATTTTACAGAAATATCCAACAATCGCAGGACCCACGTAATCCGCTTAAATTTCTCATGATTCTGGTGAGTACACATGTTAGTTCAAAATTTGTAAATACTCATATATGCTTATGCGCGTAATACCAAAAAATATGTATAGGCATATAAATGCATGTACGAGTGACCTTATTTGGAAAATCCTGAAGAAATTAGTCATAGTACCTTATGCATAGTGAACTTGAAATTCCGATAAAATCAGTTATTCCATAGGCACGATTTATGTAAATGTAATCGTCTAGTGTGAACGCGACATAAAAGTCCTGTCGAGCGATTATCGTGGGCGACAGCCTGTAGCTTATGGCAGTACTGGACGCTATGCATAATCGAAAGATCCCATTGAGTGTAAGGAGGAGTACGGGGAGGAGGGTGGAGTGAATATTTCTGAAAGGAATATTGAAGGATTTCCTTCCTATCGAAACTTACCCTCATCTTCTGAGATGTCCTCATATTCATCCTCATCCTTAACCTCATTTTCACCCTATGAAAGGCAGCCAAGATAAACACACGCAGTCCTTTGTAAATTTTCAGACAGCTTACGTAACACGTGTTGCTCGTTGAAAAAATTTTCTCCCTCTTATACTCAAAATACGAATAGAGTGCGTGCCTCAGTTTGGCACGCAGTAAGCATTACGTAAAAATTAAAAATTCCATGAGCGAAGTAGTATTTTTTGAAAATCCCAATCTTGGCAAAATATTTAATCTTAGCGGTATTGGTGAAATTATTTAAATACTTTATATCGACGCTTTATCCCGAGCCTCTGAATCGTCCACCGCTAATCGAAATATCGATCATGGTTATTTTATTCATGAGATTTCGTTCCTATTCATCATTCAGTTTTTGGCACTTTAAGTGTTCTTGGTCATAGGCTTTACAGCCTTATGCGCTCCTAGTCGCAGCTTATGCAGCCTTTCCGCCTGCCGGCCTCAGCGGAACTATTGTAGTGCTCGACGGCGCCACCTGCCGGAGTGTTCCGGAACTAACAATAATGCTCACCAGGAAAATGCAATTTTAGGAGATAATTTATCAAATTCTCGTTTCACGCCCCCTAGCGGAATTTACATGTTTACCCGTGCCCAATGAAAAACGCATGCGATAAATTAAGCAAACAATAATAATATGCGCGATCGATGCGCAATCAAAATATTCAATGGTTGTCATATTAAATTTTCCAAATCATGCACCGTTTCAGCGTAAACCATTAACGTACATTTTATCTGATGCGCTCTCTATGTACCGTGTATAAGCTATTTATGACTCGTTATTTTTTGCTAGGAAAAAGGCCAGCGCTTAGTCAGACATATTGGGACTGCCGAAACATTATCAGTGCTGCGAGAAATAATCTTCTATGTTACTTTCAAGAAATTAATACGTATATGACTTTGAAGTTTCATCAACGAATAGTACAATTTAGGGTTAATATCGACGGTATAACTATGGGAGGACTTTGCAAATAACTATTCGACCTAAGGACTTCCTCTCGAATGCTACTGACTAGAAGGTAACACCTTTGGGAAATTACTTTACCGTAATATATATATATATATTTTCCCCCCTACGCATAATGCCAGTCTGCATGTCAATATATGTATATATATTCTCACGATCCATCAATATGATATAAATGATCGATAGGTTACATTAACGTAAACAAATCTCAATTTTATTCCTATGAAAAACGAGCATCGTTGTCATACTTCGTATATCTTTAACGAAACTAAGAATTTTATCATGTTTCTATTTAGATTCATCCGTCTGATCAATAACCATCCTTTTCATTTTCTGTTTCATATACAACCTATCAACACCTATCTACTTCCCACGGGTCCGATCAATATTCTTAACTTTTCACTATTTTTCAAAATTTCCTTCCTTCTCCTTTATCAAACTGTACTTATCATATATGCTGATACTATATAGCTAGATATATTACGCGTATATATGTATATATATATATATATATATATATATATATATATATATATAGCACACGATACACGCACCTACAGTTAATCAATATTCCAAGACCCAGTACTATCTCTCACATGGCCGAGTGTGATCCCAGTCTTTCTACTGGTACCTTTTTGCTATCTTCCACCTGAGTGATCGATACGTATAGAATCTTCATGCCGTCTTTTCTGTTTTATATACGCCTCCACGTATACTTTACTCGATGTACTTTCTCTCTTTCAGGAACTCTCGCTCGTACATTATTCTTTTACGCTGTGGTTCGCACCCCGGCCGGAAGTTCCATTCTCAATTACAATAAGAGCCAGAAATCGAGATTTCATCAGGCTGAAATAGTTGGGCAAACTTTTAAGAGGCAGCCAATTGCTCAAGGGGAAGCCATATCTTCCGCAAGTGGCAGTTACGTGGTTTCCGCATCAGGGCTGTATTCGATCCTCGTCATTTCTTATAAAAAGAAAACTTTGTCTATCATCCCTTACGTAATTCCCGGCAGCACCCTACAGACGCTATTTTCGTAGGGTAGACGTTGCCGCAGAACTTTATAGGATTGACTGACGTAGTCGCTGGAACAATTAGGATGATTAATACTTTGGCAAATATTTTTTAGTCTATGATTCTTTTAAAATTAATACGAATTTTTCTCTTTCCCGTAGCCTCGTGCCAACCGAGAAAGTATCCGGGAAGAATGGGGTATACTCTTCCACCGGGAGAAAATCTCACCGCCCTCGGAAGGGACAGACCTCGTTTTCTCGACGTCTCGATTTCACGCGGCCATTCATCAGAAAGTCGCGCGACTAAAGGCCGATAAATTTTCAGAGGTGACATTTATTCGGCACGAGCACCATTCGTCGCTATTTCAAGAATAAAGCTTTGGGTTACCTGCGACTTTTATGGTACTTTTTTTTTTACTTATTGTATATGTACACTTGATATAGACCGAGTAGGTACAATTGATTTTTTATGGTTAAATACATAGTTCATTTTAACTTACTGTAATGTAATCATGCTTAAAGGTTGGTAGAGCTGTATGGTACATATATGCATAGCAAGTATCTTTAATATAAATAAAAATTCTCTGAATAAACGTACTTGAAGTCGTTAGACAAAGTCTGTATCATCGAAATTATTTACGGGATATATTTAGTATCTAGGTTTATTTTGATCTGGAAAAAATCCCACTGTGAAGTCATGAAAATCATGTAAACTTTTCATACCTGTCATGCCTATACTCCTTCAAGGAGTCATTCAATCTTTAGGTCTCTCGTGATAGCTGGATAATACTAGTTGATAAATTTATTTCCTAAGTCGACAATGGTCTTTGTATTTCATTAAAAAATTTTTACTCTGGGTAAAAAGACTCTCTCTCTCTCTCTCTCTCTCTCTCTCTCTCTCTCTCTCTCTCAAATATTCCCCTCTTTTATTATCACACGAAGCATACGTTATCCACTCAGCTTCCCAAGTGAATTTTCCCATACGTTAGATAATACCCTGAAGTTCTTAAAGCTTTCACATATTTTTCAGAACTCCGCCTCGTTTTTCCGGGCCTGGAAAATACTTGATGTCTCCAAGGCGGTTAAGTTGGCAGCAAGGTACATCCTGGAAGAGTGACTGAGTGCCAACCTCGCCTTGGCAATATTCTTAATAAGACACAGCGTCACCTTGAAACTTCACCTTCTCTCACGATAAAAGGAAACCAGAAGGTGACAGCTGCAGAGAAAAGGAGCAAGAAAGTCACTGGTTTAAACCGGAAGTGGATTCTGGGACGTCTAAGGCACTCCAGCTCAATGCTTTTCAAATGGAAACTAAAGTCACGTGACCATACTCGAATTAATAGTGACAGTCGTGGCAACACAAGGATACAAAAAAATTCAATTTAACTTTCTTCAAGAAGATAATCCCTAGGATTTCAAGAGAGCTCAAAGTTATTGCTAACAGGGTTATCTATCTTTCAATCGATGAATACTCTCGTTGGATAATAGAAATTGGTCCTTGAGATAAAAAATTGATGAAGTAAGATATCCTTGATCCTAGTAGCTTTTTCGAACAGCGAACTGAGGCATAGAGTTTATCTTTCTTCTTGGTATTATCCTGAAACCGAACCTAGCATAGCATTAAACAATTGAATTTCATGTGACACTTTTAATGATAAACGATAATGCATATAGTTATTTAAATAAGTAATACCTATAAGGAATGATTTATTATTGCTAAAATCTAGTGTCTTATTGGATTGAGATAGCAGGAAGGATGGAACTCGAGTGTCATAAATATTAGGATTTATATCATCAGAGTATCCCTCGTAGACTATATTGTTATTATTACGACCATCGTTCCTGGTTCTATATGAATGACTATATATTGTCACTCGATATAAATGACGGCTTTATATATTTATATTTTGAAAATTAAGGAAATTCTTCGAAGAAGCAAAACAGTAAGATTGAATTGAAGTAAAACGAAATGCCATATACCGTGAACGTTTAGAATTCGACTCACGTACTCTTTGATAAATTGTTAAATAATCCATTTCCAGGGTACATTTTTCTCGTTCTTCTTGTAGCAAAATGGCGGTTCTCGAGGAATTGCTCCGGGAATTGCTAAGCGAAGTGGCACGTAGAGGCGTGCTTCCTTTTTTCCCCTGAAATCATGAATCCTAAGAGGACGGTTGTCAATAGGCACAAAATCTTGAATCGGCAGGTTTAATTTCTTTTTTTCTTTTTTGCCCCAATTTTACATGTCGAAAATTCGTCCTGCTGACGTAACTTGGATATCCACTGCGAATCGTGGATGATTCTCTTATTTCGATACTGCTATTTCACTATTTAATCCCGGAGGATTAATTAGGATTTTTCTTTGTGCTTCTGACTGCCATCCGAGGCGTCCTTCAGTTTGACTTTGTATTTGCAAAAAAGAAATAAGCATTGAAAGGAAGAAGTTAAACCGGAGAGAAGCTGGATATCTGAAAAAATTCTTTTGGCGGATGAATTGAGAAATTTTTTTTTTAAATATAGTTTGATCTCGCTACAGATTTCCATCATTCAAATGCCAAGCTGCGATCAGTTACCTTTTTTTACCTTTTTTAAAAGTAACCACGGCATTTCATACCGTGCTTTCCACTACAGTGAATTATTGACAGCTGTATTTATGGATGTAAGAGCTTTTTTGATTTTCGATAACCGCACAACATATTTTTCATATAGTTCGCAGTTTAAAGATGTCTGCAAGTACTCGAAGGTTCTTTCGCTTAAAGAGTCTCTTCGCGCTAACTTTTCTTAAAATTTATCATCAGACACTGCCAGTGACGATATTATCCTTGAATCTTTCTCTTGTATTATTCTTCGTCTCGCTTGACTTCACTTTTATCTTCGATTTCTCAAGCAATCGTACCCAGTCTGCGTTTCCATTGATTTCATGAAAATTTATTCGGCAAATTAGGCTACCGACGAAACTTCCGTAAAATTCTGACAATCATAGATATTTATATAGGAGGACGCTATATTGTCTAATGGGAATATTTCCCGAATTTGGATCTTTGGTTAGCTGTTTCTTAAAAGCTCAATAAATTCCTCGTTACAGCAAGAGCCACTTGCTCGATAAGGCCTGTTATCGTTATCGCTATCGTCATCGTTATCACCCTACAATAAATGTTGAATTTAGCACATAATTATACCATTAGAAATTTCCAAAAAAAATTCCCCTTAACCCTGGTCCTGCATATTTTTGCTCTCCTTCGCGATTCTCATTAACTTTTTCTAGATCCTCGTAATCGCGATGACTGTCAAGGTCACAGTTTCTCTCTCATTAAAATTTTCTTATCTCTTTCAATCAAGGATTTCTTGATCGTTGATGGCTACCACGTCGTTAGACTAGCAAATAAAAAAGGCACGACGAATTACACTCGTACGGATCCCAACGGCCTTTTACCTCATAAAATACATGTGAATTTTTTACGATGGTCAAAGACGTCTCGTGAAATCATTTACGCAGGGCTCTCGATTGGCATTTTTACGGCCCTGACCGTGACGAAGAAGTACCCATTTACCTGAGTTAACTGCCAGTGACGCTATAGTCGGGTCTAAAAAATTCCCTGCATTTTTCAATCCACCTATTCCGAATCTGATTAATCACTTTTTCTCTGCACCTGTAGATAATTGATTTCAGATCTTAAAAAATTCCTAGATTCCAAAATAAGCAGTGAACATTAATAATTAATTAATGCCAAGCCCTATGATCTAACCAATTACAAATTCACGATCCGATTTTCAATTTCCATCACACTCGAATTATGACTTGTAGCTGCAATCTCCATATCAATACTTCAATAGATATAAAATCGCAATAAAATTTTGTTATCATGAAATGGGGCAAAACTCTATATGCAATTTGAAGATGAACCCGTCACTTTGAGTCATATTAATATATGAGCAAATTATTTGTTGCATTTTTTACCTAAACTCGCTCCAGCATCCAATTGGATTTTAGCAAGTGCCCTGTATTATCATCTCACGGTGATTCGCCATTGCACTTGTACGTCCAGTAAGATTGGTACCTTTCGTCTTAGGATGTTTTACGGAACTCACTGCTATGCTATAGAGAGGCGCGTATACCTTGTTCGTAATAACGATGCAACAGTCAACAGACGTTGCTACGAGAAACGACTTTTAGAGAATCTTGTATGCAGCGAACAGTAGTGAGGTTGTGGAATATGCGAACAAATAATGCATCGTAAGTTCAATCACGTCTTACGGAGGAAGTATCTTGCGGTTAAGGTACAAGCTGCAGGAGAATTGGTCTCGTACTATGAAACCATAGGATTTGCATCTCAGTACCAAGAACTAGTTCCTGAGATACAATAGTTGCCGAGTTCAGTAATGTGCCGTTGGTTTGGCTTGATAAAAAAAATAAAAAATTAATACAATTATGAAACGAGTATTATTTTTAAAATTTTGAAAAAACAAAATTACCAGTAGCACATATGTGAATGCTAGATAAACTTAATTAAAAAATTTTTTACTAATCCTGGCGATAACAAAATTCATCTATAAAATATATTTTATCCTAAATAAAAAATTGACTTTAAACATGCTTTATTCGTATATTCGTCCCATTGAGCCAACGTTGCATGTTGTGTCGAAGTTTTTTCTGAGTATCTGGGAACCACGATTAAAAATGAAATTCTTATCGGTAATTCTTTTAATTTTTGTACATGTTGTTTACTTCGATTAGATGGAGTCCTTTCTTCGAGATTATCGGTACAGTTAATTGATTCTCCAGTCTCGTGGACGTCGTGAATTTGATTTACCGAACGCTTCGTGATCGTGGTGTCGCAAAAATTCAAAAACAAGAGTAAATCTCGGCTATGTTCATAATTTTGTAATAAAATGCCAGCTCGGATATTACGTTCGAAAAGTTAGGTTAGGTATCGAAATTTTCTAGTCTCGCTTGTCGCATCACTAGTTGTATCTCGCGAGGACATAAAATTGAATTTGACAAAGTTTCCCTAATTTCCTCTATCCTATCCAGTAGGATTATTGACGTTACTAATTATTTTAGGATCCTCGGCGCTGATGAATCCGGTAAACAGATTTCCTCGATGTCTACCGCACGTAATCCAATAATTTTGATACCATTGCACCGGAAGTGGACATTCCCGGAAATCGATGCTCCGAAATGACAGAGTCACTACATACGTACCAATCAAATGGTAATCAAAGCACTGCCTTGAATAAATCGTATCCATCTACATACGTATCCATACGTTATTATAATTTTGCACTTTGAACAATCATAATTATAATAAAATTAGTTCCATTTACCATAAAACCTATACGGTATATTATTAATAACAAGAATTATTTAATTCCGATATTTATCAACGATGATAACGAAATACCGCTGTTATAGTCGATAACCATACAAAAATTGACAGATAACGATATTACGTTTATTAGCAATGTCGAGGACGAGAGAATCGGACGAGATTAAAACGCACTGGCGTAAATTAAATAAATTTCCCAGAACGAGTGAGTCAACGAATTGCGTAGAACTCGGCATAGATATCCATAAGTCACGTAGGGCGTGGCAAGAGAGTTGAATAAAAAAAATAGTCACTATAGGAAATCCAAAAAAAAAATATCAAAGAAACTCAAAGGCTTTCGGTAAGTTGCGTGACGATGTTCATAAATCGTTCATAGAATTTATCGATTCCTGCTGTCCAGTAATGAATGAAAATCGTGCCAGAGGTGGCGTGAGCTTACGAAATTTCTGTAAATGGGAACCAAAAAAAAAGAAGCAGAAAATCTCACGCTCCATAGAATCATATTTCGAAGACGTATCTTGTACGTAGAATGAAAAAATATATATACAAATATTAAATTACGAAAGAAAATAAATCGTATCGAAAAACAGCTCACTCTCAATTCCGCGAAGCATATCGATCATTGCTCGTCGACTGTTGTCCTAATTAATTGGACGAGTACGTGTCTCCTTGATTAAGGCCTGTCATATATTTTTTGGCGAGAACGAGTTTAGGACCCCTCTCCCATCCCCATCACGGTTAATCAACTAATTGCTCCGTCCATTAATTATACCGTGCTACACGTAAGGGTTTTATATTACATGCTCGAAAATTTGCATCGTTCGTTATTCGCTTATCGCGTGGTTATCTATTTTGCATAATATATATATATATATATATATATATATATATATATATATATGCCTAACCGTGTCATATAAAAGTAACGAGCATCCAAGTGATTTTCAAGACTTTCAATAAGCTTTTTTTATTCGTGAAATTCACGTTGGATATAATCGAAGCTAATAATTTGATTGAAGGGAGGCCAATTTGTTAATATCGATTCGACGTACCTCTCACGCGATTAATCGGTAACGCTGAATCGCTTGAATAAACTCCAAGGATTTAATGGAATTTATCGAGCCCTGCCTGCCATGTAATTATTATCGAGGGCAAAGAGGATATAAACGAAGCTAATGAAGAATATATGTATATTTTCACTAGATAATTATCAGTCATTTTTTGTATGGCTTATATAAATTTTCAATTTTTATCTTTTCTCCGTTGACTTTCTCTATACAGGTTTGTCCTGTTTTCTTTATCTGATGGTCTATATAACTCCGTGTATACGTATGCCTGGGGTATGTTAATTATTTTTCAAGCATTGTTTACTCACTTCAAACTTCCGACCCGAAGTGGGCTGCTTGTCCAAAATTTTCGGTGAATTAATAAAGTGAAGGAAAAAAAAAAGAAAAAAAAGAAATTGTGCACATTTCGAAATTGTTTATCCGGAAAAAATGGATTGATTGTTCGAGCTTCGTAAATTCATTTCCGAGTCTTGCAATTCTAATACATCGATCGATACGAACGGGAACACCCTGCGTTTCCGTTTGATGTCGATTGAGTCGGGTAAATCGGGATTAGCGAAAGACGTGAAAGTCAGGGAGGAGGGAAGGACGAAAAATATTGGGGGGAATATAATGATGAATTGGACGAGAAAGTTTTATCGAGTAAAAGTGAGAATATATAAGCCGGAAACGAGACGCCACGTGGTTCCTTTGAAATTCTCTTTTTGTACCTTATACTTCCGCCTATATCCCCGTTTTGTCTTTTTTACTCTTTTGTTTTCCTTTGAACCTTTACTTTCTGCGTCGGTTGTTGCTATCGTGACATAGTTCTGTGTGCTAATTTTTTTTTTTCGAGCAAACCTTTTTTTTATCGATTTGAGGAAAATCATTGGAATTACTTTTCACAGTGTACGCTTTCCTGAGAAGTTGACATTTTTCATAACTCGGGAAATTACACGTCTTGCTGGGGATACGTATTGACAAACTGTTGACATTCGTGTTGAACGATTTGCTTGAAATTTTGTATTTCATCTATTTCCAAACGGATATTTGAGGAATTGTTTTTTTTTCTTTTTCCGTCTAGTTTCGTACCAGTTTATTTATGCTATGCTCCATATGCTGGACTCTTTTTTTTTTAATAACCAAGTCAATTTGTGTACGCGAACGTATGGTACTTCGATATGTATAAGAAGGTACAGTTCATACGCTATTAATTTTATTATTGATTCAACATGTATTGCATACAGTATTTCCAGTGAAAAAATGTGACCGAGCTTTCTTGAACAGGACCAAAGAAATACATAAAAGGACGACAAAAAATGATGAAACCTTGACTTTATGGATTCACAAGTCTTTTTCCAATTTGCCCCATTTCATTTATTCATCGAGTAACGGTGCATGATGGATAAGCGGCGTATTGCTACCAGTAGAAAATTTCTTCATTTTTCCCATAAGGGAGCTACATGTCGCGAATCTCAAGCAGTATGAAAATTGCGAAAATCTTCGCACGTAAAACTCGAATGTATGAAGATTCAAAATTGAATGAAACGAATCAATTGAACATTTTTTTTAAATATAAAGAATTAAACCTCTCAGTTCCATCTGGCATATAAATACCCACGTAGATAATTCTTGTCGAAAAACTTCTTTTCTCACTGAATTCACGTATACACCTTTTCCAAATATGTCCAAAAAGAATAATAAAAATGCAAAAATTCAATTTTCTCAGGAAATCACGTACGCGAAATTCAGTTTGCCTTATAACGTACCTCTGATGAAAAAATAATGAATAACCCAACAAATACGTGCCAGTCCAAAATATACCTTTGAACAATATATTTCCATA